CCCTAAACCCTAAACCCTAGAGGATTCAGCGTTGAGGGTTCATGGTCAGGTTTCGAGTCTAGGGAAAAGTGTTGCGAAGGCTTCGGGGCTCACGGTTTAGGTTTAATGGTTTAGGGGTTTAGGGGTTTAGTGTTAAGGGTTTGGGGTTTTTGAAGTCCGAATTAAGCTTGATTCGTAGATCTCATGTGGCGTAATACACACCTTTCTCACTTGTTTCGCCTGACCATTGCAGTCCGAGAGCATCCTAAATAACTACTAGTAACTAGTACTCTTCCTAAGGGTTTCTAGTTGGGAATCATCGCAAAATGACAGTTTTCAGCAGGGCTTGGGGGGTGTCGATGCGTTCAGGGCTTCGGAAGGACGTGGAGTGAAAGTGGCGGGTTTCAGAGTTGCTGGGTCTTGGTGTCTCATAAGGCTCTACTGCGCAGGGTTTCTGGTGATCCATTCAGAGTGCAAAACACCATAGGAGCCCGCCATAGACGACACCAGAGGGTTTAGGGTTTAGGGTTTAGATCATATACTAGAATATGCTATGCTGTACAGTTAATTAGACCCGTTTAAGGATGGTAGGACCCACCATAGCCATAGTTAGCCTCTTTATACTTGAATATACTACAATACAATTCATGGTATATAGCAGACTATACTATACTAACATAGATTATCGTAATACTACACTATAATATAGGCTATAATACAACAATAGTATACTATGAGATACTACAAGATACCACAATATACAGTCACATACTAGAACATACTCTAGTGTATTCTAGTCTCCGCCACTACACTCAGTAGCACTCGAAGACCCAACCCCGACGAGGTTGACACGTGCAGGTTCGATGTCTGGCCCTCAGGAGAGCAATTTCGGGGGAGCGGAGGTGTATAAGGGATCTATAGGGGTTTAGGATTTAGGGTTTAGGGTGTAGGGTTTAGGGTCTAGGGTCTGGGGTTTAGGGTGTAGGGTATCTCATGTAGAATGCAGGGTTTCAATATTATACCCGGAGAAACCCATCTGACCCTTCGGGGTTTAGGCTTCTGGGCCTTTAGGGTTTGGGGGTTTAAGGTTTTGGG